ACAAGAAACTTTGAACCTTAACAACAAAGCAGTGGCACTGTACCAATCCAATGATATGGGCGGGGCTGCCAAGGCATACTACGAGTCACTTTGTCTCGCCAAGGAATTGTTGACGTGTACTGCTCCTAGTCGTCAAGGAAGTGGTGTGAACTACCAGACCCCAGCACCGCTTGCCACTACTCTGCCGCAGCATGAATGCTTTCATACTTCTGCTGAAATACCCAGCACTCTCCCCATGCGAGAGAAGTTCTTTGTGTATCAAAACGCATTAGTTTTGCAAGAAGCTCCCTCATTTGGTGCGGAGCATCGCGTGCAATCCATGAATATCTACTGTGCTGGAATCTTGTTTAACACGGCCATACTGCATCACCAAAAGTCGATCAAGACTGGAATATCGGCATCCATGCATCGAGCAGAGCAGCTTTATCAAGCAAGCCTTCAGCTCATTGTGGGGCTTCCACGATCCAACGATACGGTTGCCCTCATTGCATTTGCAGCCACTAACAACTTGGCTCAGATCGAGTTTGAGAAGGGACTGGTGATGCAAGCGAGTGAAAGACTACGATTCCTAGTACATCTATTCTGTTCATTGGAAAATACGGCTGGACGAGTCTTCGCGGTTGACGAGTGCCATGGCCTGCTATCTAACACACTGTTGGCAAACGGCATGTCTTCGTCACCAGCTGCCTAAAGCAAGAAAATCATGTAATATTGGAATAGTTTTGTAACAATTTGAATTCATTTTTGTAAAATAGGACTACTATCATGGTTCTTGCTATTAAAGGTCTTCGGTTGGCGTTGGGCATCGTTTCGACTACAGTACCCGTTACCTACATGATGAAGCGCGAAGGGCTTGAGAAATCATGAAGGTTCAAGATAGAGGCTGCGACGCGAACCCGAAAAAGTCCTGGCGAACGGTATTTACAAGAAAGGGAACACGACCAAATATTTCCATATTCAATATCATTCTCCGTTCACATACACCATTCTCCGTTCATTTCGGTGTATCTAATGCTTTTTTTAACCGAACGACAATCAAGACTCAAGAGGCAACGCTTCAGGTGGGGCGGTCTTCCTGTATCGGTACCAAAGCCATGCTTTGAGCTCAGTGCCCTCCTAGGGAGGATCTGTGCGCTTTCAGTCAGTCACAGTTTCTAGTTCGAGTTGAGAGCTCTTCCTGCCCTTTTCTCAAAATGACTCCTCATATCCGAGTACTTAGTATGAAGATGGCAACAGACACTCCCCTACTGACACCAACCTTAAAATCATAGATAACCCGACGCCCCCTTCACTTGCTCCTGTGCTTGAACCCCATGATGTAGTCTTGCGTTGAGAATCTACATCATGCTAGCGAGGTATTTCGGTCAAGGAAGTTTTTGCAATGTCGACTGAAGGATTCGCGTAATGACGATTGACAACAAAACCGGACAAAACACTAGTAGGGTACTACCGAGAGATGGTGCAAATACATGAGAGAAACAGGGTGATGAGGGCAGAAAAAAAGCAAAAGCTGACAATCTTAACCGCATTGTATGCCCCTTCCATTGCCTTCATCATCTCATAAGCTCCCATTGCGAGCAATGCCATGTCTCCGTCCTCTTCGTCAACGCTCTTCACTCCGTCTGTCAACCGTACTTCACTAATCTAGTTTCTGCTTGGCTCAATACGCTCAAAACTGTCTCCCGTGCGTCTTGTTGCCGATCAAGCTGCATGCTACTGTACCTCATCAGTGCTCGATCTCCAGGAACAGATCCGTTGCCTTCGAATTTTGACGAAGGATTGAAAAGTTAGAAGAAGGTCATGTAATCATTTAACAAACTTCTCTTGAAAAGGCATAAAATGCATTTTTTGAAAGCAAATATGGCAACTTCAAACTACTTTTGTTCTTGTGGCTTTCGTTTCATTTAATTAAAGGTACCAAAAACTCTGCGAAAGAGTCTTCTTCCACGATAATTAATATGAAAGCGGTGCGAAGTATTCGATGTCAAGTGTCCTTTGAGTTTTTTTTTTAAAAGGTTCATGCGTTGTCGATTATATATCCGACAGTAAAATCTCTCGAATGGCGAGCAATCTTTTTCCTCGATAATAATTTCCACAAACAATCTCACTTTACCACTTCCGACTGAGCTATCATGATCTCACTACAAGACACTTTGAGCCTTAACAACAAAGCCGTGGCATTGCATCACTCTAATGATATGGGCGGGGCTGCCAAGACATACTACGAGTCACTTTGTCTCGTCAAGGAATTGTTGAATCGTACTGCATGCTCCTCGTCAAGAAAGTGTGAACCACCGCGCCCCCACACCGTTTGCCACTACTCTACCGCAGCATGAATGCTTTCATACTTCAACTGAGACATCCATCAACACCCCCATACAAGAAAAGTTCTTTTTGTATCGAAGCGCATTGCTTTTGCAAGAAGCGCCCTCATCATTTGTTGGTGCGGAGCATCGTGTGCAATCCATGAATATCTACTGTGCTGGAATCTTGTTTAACACGGCCATACTGCATCACCAAAAGTCGATCAAGACTGGAATATCGGCATACATGCATCGAGCAGAGCAGCTTTACCAAGCAAGCCTTCAGCTCATTGTGGGGCTTCCACGGTCCAACGATACGTTGACCCTTATTGCATTTGCAGTCAGTAACAACTTAGCTCAGATCGAGTTTGAGAAGGGACTGGTGATGCAAGCGAGTGAAAGACTACGATTCCTAGTACATCTATTCTGTTCATTGGAAAATACGGCTGGACGAGTCTTCGCGGTTGACGGGTTTCATGGAATGCTATCTAACACACTGTTGGCAAACGGCATGTCTTCGTCACCAGCTGCCTAAAGAAAATCATTAATTTTTGGATTATCTTTACTGTACCGATAAAAATGCACTTTTGTCGAGCAACATCATATGGTTGTAGCTATCTGTTGGAAGTCGTACAGACGACTCCACTGAGTCAGATAGTGACGAGTCTAAACCGTCATACATCAACCGTGAGAGTATGAAGAACCAGTCATGGGCAGATGATGTTCGAAAGATGAACGATTGAATTACAGTAGTTTAAAACTGCGTAGAGAGTTTTGGGATGACCGAAAGCATGAGTTTGCTTTGGTCATTCGAAAACTCTTATCCCAACTAAAGCAAGTTTTATTAACGACTTTAAGGTTCATAGTATTAGGACTACGTTACGCCGAACAACTGAAGACTGATCGTCTCAGAGTATCGTAGGGTCTTTTATTATCTAACAGCTATCAAACGACTTCGTTTCTAGTTTCATTGACGAGATTCATGAAAAGCGATGCGCTCAAAAGGGAAAATTAAATCGAAAATTGGGATATTAGACTGTCGCATGGTTTCGTCGCTTTCTTTTTCATCGACAGCATCAAACCAACTTCAAGGAGCTCATTGAATCGGACATACCTACTACCATCATTCGAATCTTCGATCCCTTCTTCGATCGTTTACACATCTCGTGCCAGCATGAAAAAGAACTGTCTTGGCAGCCGGTCGGAAATAAAGCTGAAAGGCGTTTCATCAACACGTCAGCTGGAAGAGAAGGAGAGCTATTGTTGCGACATGATTCCAAAGCGAGTCAATCATTTGTGTAATACAGAATGAATGAATCTTTCGTCTCTTATGCTGGCAGGAAGCGAAAGTTCGGGATGCAGAGGCGCAAAATGATCTGTCGGGGAAAATATTGTTCGTGTTTAGCTATATTTTGATTTCATGACATTGTCATTGCACCGCAATATGAGTATAGTGCGATATTCGACACCGATGGGCGTTCTGTTCGATTTTTGGAGTCTCAACTTCAACCTCATAAGAAGTCTCGTGGACCTCATAAAATCTCTCGAATTGCAAGGGACCACACTTTCTTTCTCCATGATCTCGTTACAAGACATTTTGAACCTCAATAACAAAGCAGTTGCACAGCACCAATCAAACGATATGTGCGGGGCTGCCAAGACATACTACGAGTCACTTTGTCTCGTCAAGGAATTGTTGAAGTGTACTACTAGTACGCCTCGTCAAGGAAGTCGTCTGAGCCATCACGCCACCAATACTTTGCCTCAGCATGAAAGCTTTCATACTTCTACTGAAACTTCCAGAAATATAACCAAGCAAGGACTGCTCTTTGTGTATCAAGGTGCATTGGTCTTACAAGAAGCTCCCTCGTGTGGTGCGGAGCATCGCGTGCAATTTATGAATATCTACTGCGCTGGAATCTTGTTTAACACGGCCATTCTGCATCACCAAAAGTCGATCGAGACTGGAACATCGGCATCCATGCATCGAGCAGAGCAGCTTTACCAAGCAAGCCTTCAGCTCATTGTGGGGCTTCCACGATCCAACGATACGGTTGCCCTCATTGCACTTGCAGCCACTAACAACTTGGCTCAGATCGAGTTTGAGAAAGGACTGGTGATGCAAGCGAGTGAGAGACTACGATTCCTAGTACATCTATTGTGCTCATTGGAAAGTACAGCTGGACGAGTCGTCACGGTTGACGAGTTCCACGGCATGCTATCTAACACACTGTTGGCAAACGGCGTGTCTTCGTCACCAGCTGCCTAAGAAAAATCATTTAAATATTGGAATAGTTTTGTAACGATTTAATAACAAAAGACTTTTGTCGAGCATTGTCATGGTTGTAGCTATCAAACGTCTTCGATTCTTGTTTCATCGACTAGCAAATGCATGAAAACGCGGAGCGCTCAAAGGGGAAAATGGTCAAGCTACTATACCTTCGGTAAGAACTCACTACGAGGGTTTCTCCGGTTTCTGTTTTCATAGACGACATCAAACCAACTTCAAGTACCTGGTAGCCAATAGAAGAAAAAAAATGAAATAAAACCGAGTCAATCATCATTCGTGCGAAGACCGGTAGGTTCTTTGCTTCGGCACGGTAGTGTGCCACACGAACGGTACGACTAGGTACAAAATAACTCACATATGTTGGCAGGGAGAAACCGGATCTAAATGAAGTTGAAAGGCGTTTCATGAACACGTCAGCTGGAGGAGAAGCATTTCGTAGGAGCTAATGCTGCCCAAAATGGATGAATGAATCATTCGTCTATTGTACAGCACAGAATCATATCACTACGTGCTGTCGGGAAGCACAATGGTGCCTTTCGAACGTTCGGGATGCAAGTTGTTAGGCAGAGACGCAAAATGATCTGCCGGAGAAAATTTGTTCGTGCTTAAAAAGTTATTTATTTCATGTCATCGTACTGAAAAAGGTAAGGTACGATTGAACTGCGAACGAATGGTTTCTACTTTAACTGCTTTGAAAGCGGTGCAATATACACATGACGCCGAGTGTTCGGTTTGTGGAGCCTCAACTTCAACCTCATAAACTCTATTGGAACTCATCAAATCTCTTGAATTGGGACGGATTCAAAAACTTCCACGAACAATCTCACTTTCTTTCTCGATCATGATCCCGTTACAAGACACTTTGAACCTGAACAACAAAGCAGTGGCACTGTACCAATCCAATGATATGGCCGGGGCTGCCAAGACATACTACGAGTCACTTTGTCTTGTCAAGGAATTGTTGAAGTGTACAATGACCATTCCTCGTCAAGGAAGTGGCGTGAACCACCACTCCACAAATACTTTGCCTCAGCATGAATGCTTCCATACTTCTACTGAGACATCCATCAATACCCCCATACAAGAGAAGTTCTTTGTGTATCAAAGCGCATTAGTTTTGCAAGAAGCTCCCTCATTTGGTGCGGAGCATCGCGTGCAATCCATGAATATCTGCTGTGCTGGAATCTTGTTTAACACGGCCATACTGCATCACCAAAAGTCGATCAAGACTGGAATGTCGGCATCCATGTATCAAGCAGAACAGCTTTACCAAGCAAGCCTTCCCTCATTGCATTTGCAGTCAGTAACAACTTTTTTGAGAAGGCTCAGATCGAGTTTGAGAAAGGACTGGTGATGCAAGCAAGTGAAAGACTACGATTCCTAGTACACCTATTGTGCTCATCGGAAATTACAGCTGGACGAGTCTTCGCGGTTGACGAGTTCCACGGCATGCTATCTAACACTCTTTTGGCAAACGGCGTGTCTTCGTCACCGGCTGGAAAATCATCTAATATTGGAATAGTTTTGTAACAATTTAAATTCACTTTTTGTAAAGCAGGACTATACTATATCATGGCTCTGGCTATTAAAGGTCTTCGGTTGGTGTTGTGCATCGTTTCATCGACTGAAGTACCCTTTACCTGCCTGTTGAATCATGAAGGTCACCAGCAGCAGTGTTGTTGTCGTCATCTTCATCATCATCCTTGTTGGCATCTTCATCATCGCCATCACTGTCATCTTCATTATCATCCTTGTTGTTGTCTACATCATCGTCGTCCACATCATCATCATTGTCATCATCTTCACCATCCTCTACATCACCATCTTCATTGGTGGCATCGTCCTCCTTTTTGTCTCCGCCAGCTGCATCACAATCTGCTCTTGCCTGTTTTTGTTGCCCCATGGTGCCAAACATTAATGAAGTCATTGTTTTCTTGAGAATGGTCTTGCCTTTCCGCTTCATTTCTCTAGGATCAGAGTTGACATACAGGAAAAAAATTCGGGCAAGAACCAACGACTTCCAGAGCCCCCGTGGTCTTTTCTGGTTCTTTTTCAGTCCGTCTTCGGTGATGGAGTAATGCTTGTTCCGTGAAAGGATTTTTGCCAATCTTTTCATTTCCCCCGCCATAATATCCACGGACTCTGAGGGTTTAGTTTGGAGTGCCCACTTTCCAACTTGTTCTGCAAAGGCGGTTGCAGCAGATGGATCATGTGGATCTTTCCAAATTTGTCAAGCTCTATCTTGAACTTCTGGATCCGCTCCGGACAGTGAAATACAACACCAATTCCCCTCAACAACGTAATAATGTCAGACTTTGTTTTGCATCGGCCAGCCATCATGTTTTGGCTGTACACCACAAAGCTTTGCTCGTTCACAGCTCCTAAAGGACCAGCAGTGGGACTGAATACATACTTGATGATCTGAAAGGAAAGCCATGTGATCTCAACCTTTTCCATGGTGTCTTTGCGATATTTCTCAACACCAGAGAAGGTGAATGCTTGGCTGGTAGAGGAGTCCAAACTAGAGCTGGAATCACCATCATCTGTTTCCTCACCTGATTTGTCACTTGGCTCCCCTTCGGATTTGATCAAGTAGCTGCTGCATAGCTTTTTGTCTTCGGATATATTGCCTGCAGCTGTTTCTGCATCTCACCAATAGCAGCCGAAAGTGTCTCAACCGGTTCAAAAACAAGATGGAATTTGCAGAAGCCTTGGGATTTGGAAAATAGGAAACCGGAAATTTGATCCTGGCCCCTTTGAAAGCGCTGGTCTTGCGCAAAGCATTCAAGGTATAACGGCAGTCTTGCTGGTAGGTCTTCTTGTTTTTTTTCAGTACGTTTTGAAATAGAGCGTATAAAATCATGGTCTTATCGGTCCATTCCTCCTTGTATTGATCAACGGTTTTGGACACAACCGTTGTCACTTTAGTTAATGGGCAGCTACCTTCTTCTTCATTGAGTTCATCATCCTCATCTTCTTTGGACAAGGATTTATTGGAAGAGTGCTTGCCCTTGGCCTTTACTTCATCGTCATCGTCATCGTCATCGTCGCCTTCATCCGAGTCTTCATCATCATCATCATCATCATTGGAGTCATCATCAGTGGAGTCTTCTTCCTCTGGAGTGCTGGAGGCTTTATTTTCCTTGTCCTCCTCAGGGGCTTTGCTTCCCTCCACACCCTTGTCGTCCTTGGACTCCAATACCATTGCATGCGATATCATGTATTCTTGAGATGCTTTATCATTTTCAATAATTGTGCAACATTTCCATTGTTGACATGAAAAGGTGTATGCTTCACCTGGAGTGCACCGAAAGTGTAGAAGGTCAACATCAGGAGTGCTCAATTCCCGTTTTGCCACATTCTCAAACACTAGTAGCATATGAGTCAGTACCATCTTTGAACTCAAAGACAACGTTTCTTTCCATTCCTGGA